CCAATGATGACAACCTTGAAGCCGAGAACGATACCCACTTCAGCTTGACCAGTGATTGCCGCGTTAGCGTCTCCGGATGCGTGTAACTAACAGCGACAGGACAAGTCGGGTGAGGTTAATTTAACAACCCCCGTGAGGGTCTTTGATCCTAGTTTCGGGCACACAACACATCAATACCCAGGGTGTGAAGCGTGCGTACGAGTGCAGCCCGTTAATCTATTTGTCGCAGAGTGCGATTGTTGAACGCCGCCAAGGAAACAGACAGTGTTGGCGATTGGTGTGCGGAAAGATAGCTGCAGATTGTATGACACCAGTGTCATTACGGCTGCTGTCAATTAAGCTGGGAACTATAGAAGGTAGGGTAGTAATGGGGGTTGGGAGGAGAGTAAGAGGAACAGGTGGAAAAGAAGGAATGGAGATGGCAGCAGTAGCATATTTTCGCTTATCGGTCCTGTTGTACCCAGACGATAAGACGACGCTTGATAAGTTGCGCGATGCAGGATGTAGTTAATGTTTGATGAAATAGTCATGGTAGTGCGTGGGCTTAGATATCGCAATGGCGTCCAGACCCATACAGGGGAACGATTAGGTTCCTCAACCAAAGCTTTGGGCTCTAAATCATGTCTGCATGGCGGCGGAGAGGTGGCACTGTTTTGATTTTTTTTTAATGGACGCCATCCAATTTCAAATCCCAACCTGGGGAGCAAAAGACTGGGGCTATTTGGCCTCTAACCATTGACCAATCTGGCAGGAGTTGCTCTCGAGGGACACAACACAGTATAGCTCAATGGATCGAGGAGTTATGCAAACCGTGGAACCATGTTAAGGTTCAGTCTCGCTGCGATTGACAACAACAACACCATGACATAAAACCGTGTTTAGAAAACATGTCGGAAACCAAATCTCTAATTTTCCGAACTATGGTATGCATTGTTAATAAAGACGTCGCTGAGTTCTTTATGTTGAACGATCTTCGGTCATCAGCTTAGTACGGTTTTCTTCAAAAACGTTCAAGTGCCCCTTGTTAGTGATGATATTTTCGAACATTTTACGAATTTGTTGGACTTGTACCGTAGTTCATCTGGATATTAATAAAGCACTCAACAAAGTGCCACATAAACTACTTACTTAGAAGTTTCATAACAGTGGCTTGGATAGATTCATATCTCAATGGCAGGAAGAAACTGTTTAGGATAAGTAATCACTAATCAAGGACAAGGAATTTTTGCAAGTGATGTAGTACAAGATAGAGTACTCTGGCCTATTCCTGATATAAACTAATGACCTGTTTCGTGTAATTAAGAACTTATCTGGTTGCCGATGATATAAAAATTGTATATACTGTGGTACCAGGAAGCTCTAACTTTACTTCTGAAATACAAAACGACTTGGTTTGTATGAAAGAGTGGTGATCTGTTTCCGCAATGAGCCTTGAGACGAATAGGTGCAGTATCATGTGTTAAGGATACTGTATTCCATTAGGAAGTTCTACTTTGTATAATCTCGCACTTTCGAAAGGTGATCCTGTCGGGGATTTTGGCCTGCGATACTCCCGTATGCTTAATTTTAAAGAACAAACAACGCATATTGTGACTAGAATACGACAAACCATTAGAATGATGAACCGCTTGTTTATAACAACTGATGCTAAACACAGCTTCCAGAGTTTATGCCCGACTCATTCTAGTATACTGTACAATCACTTTAGCAGTACAAGAAAATGTGACACTGAAAATCGAAACAATTCAGAGATCATTTACAAAAGACTTGTGGATTGTACGCCTACCCTATCTTACAAAGATAGATGTAAGCTGCTAAATCTCGAGCCATAGTGGTTTCGAAGCTTACTAGTAACTGATTTACAAAAGTCTTCATCGACAAACGCACACAAATTTTCGCTGACTGAAATTCCAAGTATCTTCGCCATATAATATAAGAAACAAGGATTATGTGGTAAAAGTACCCCGCATCGTACGCGAGTACGATGCAACTTCTTTACGCCTGAATATCCACTGCCATGGAATATATTGCCCCAAGTCATCAAAAAATTCCGCTACCGTTTGACTTCAAAAACATAATTAAAATACCCAAATAATTGTTCTGTTTGAGAGCTCAGATGAATAGGTATGTGAATGTGGGACTAAGAAGATCGTAGCATCCATCTTTCGAGTCCTTCATTCACCGGCCTTTCCGTACTGTTCAATCCTCCACTTGTATTTCACGATCCGTTCTTTTCGAAGAGTTCTGTCCGATTGAAATAAACATTGAGTCCCTCTTTTCCAAATTATCACATCGCTCCATCGTAGGAACATAAATCAATTCGTTCCGGTATCACTAAAATACGAATTCATCCCTCACTTTTTGCTTGAGTTATACACATGCTATTTATAGCATCTGAGTTTGCCGTCATTCACGTCGCCGCTATTTATTATGTGTTGCACCACACAGTATGCCTGTATCCACTAATACAACTCTTCCAAGGGATCATGTTTCATCTCATCACAAACAATTATTATTATTATTATTATTATTATTATTATTATTATTATTATTATTATGTTTTCATTTTAGTTTTTATTTTTTTTTACACTGCGGACCAAGACAGCCTACCTCCTGAGGTGATAAAACAAAGCTTCTAAATTAATCAGTATACCCGCACAAGGCGAAATGCCACAAATCTACCGGTGGCAAAAATGTACTCGACGCGGGAGAGTTAAATGGGCCAAATGACCGAGTTGATAACTCTCTAATCATACCACTCTCCACTACTCATTAGTAACATAAAATGGCCCAAAAATGAGTTAAAGCAGTGATGGCCTACTACTATAGGCCACACCAGGAACGCGGCCACATTGGGATTAAGTGCCCACGGTAATCGGATATAAAAATGAGCTGATAAGTGAAACAAAGGGGTGATGGCTTGCATGCTTTTAAAGCCACCCCGGCATAGTTCCAGATTGTCGTGAAAGTACGGAAGAAACCTACAGTGGGACTACTCTCTGCATGAAAGCAAGCCCCCAGGAGACGGTTCCACGATTGGCCGTTACATTAGTTGAACCATTGGCTGTTTCCGTTTCCCTCTAAGATCGGCTGCAGCCATTGCTCTATTTTAATGCACTTGTTCCCTCTTATGGTTGTAATGGTATAACATGATTGTTAAACCCCAATCATGCCGGAAATGACATCGTTTAAAACCGAGAATATACATTATTATTAAACTACAGGATAAACTGCGATCATTGGAATCAAAACCTGATGAGATGAAAAAGTGCTGGCACTATTTTAACTAGACGAAGATCACCTGATTTCGCTTGATTACATCAGTAACCCATTTTTTATTTTATTTATTGGAAAGGACTGATCCTACTCTGATAGGAAAAGCAGAG